ATTTCAACAGTTTTCTCAACATATTTGATTCCGAACACAACACTCCCTGTGTGATATAATCAGTACTAACTTAGTCAAAATGATGAAAACTAAGCGTTAGAAAGCAGTGTTCTCACCAGTTCAATTTGTAATGAGGAACACGTGTTGGAAACGCTGCAAAACTCTGCAACCCTAAGAGACCGACTTGCTCCACGCAAGGATTTGAAGGGTGTGGATAATAAGCGCATAAAGCCATACACGAGACCCTTTCTAAGGTGAAGTTGCCTCATGCCCGGCTGCACACAGGGTCCACTCCTCACCTAAAGCATTGACAAAGCAGGCTTTTAAACTTAAACTCCATACAGCAACATGCAATTAAGAAAATTTCCCACAATAAGTCAATAACAACAACAATCAATGGATTTCAGAGAACCTCTGCAGAAAATAATAGTACAAAATCACATAAAACGATTGGGAACGATTAACTAGATTGTAAACCACCAATCATTTTTCATAAATACATAGTTCTACTCCGAATGAATCGATTTCAAAACAGTCGGCATCGGTACCGGCATACAATATGGAGACAAAGCAACAAGTTGAAGTTCATATCAAAAGGCAAGGCTTTATTTTTAAGAGATGTAGGAAATGATTTCATACCATATATTGAGAAAATCGAAAAACAAACCAACAATCCTGTACTGAAAATCATCCCCGTTCACATAGAACATTACAAGAAAAGACGAGATTCACATCAAAATGTGGTGATAAAGAATTTGCAATCTTCTTCAATACAAGATTAACTTGTCCTTGTTAAGGTAAAACTAACAGAAAGCAAATAGAGAACATCCACTTCCTAAATTAACCATAAAAAGTGTTCTTGTTTTCCTAAAATTGGTAGAAGAAAAAATCAGATCCTTACCATTATATTTTCATTTCTCTTCCTAAATGGAAAAAGAAAATCCAAATTCAACAGAAGAAAGATACAGACTTGCCAAGAAAAATCCATGAGGAGGAAGAAAGAAAGCAAACCCTGGAACAAGGGAAGGAATAGGACGCCACAGTAGATGAAGCCTTACAGAGCATCTGCATATCACTTTCTCTCTCTAAAACGGATTCTCCTTTTCGTGAAAGTTCCCTCTGCTGAGATTTGAGAACAAGTACGTGTGTTAATGGGGCTGTGCCTGTCACTCAATATACAGTGATTCTAATTTTACTTTTGTTTTTGTTTTTGTTTTAAGTAAAATCGAAGGAAAATGAAAAAAAAATTGTTTTATATGGTAGAGAAAGAAAATGATACTATAAGTTATTTTGAAAGCAAAATACATTTTGTTAATTTTTTTTTAAAAAAATATTAAGTTTTCTCTGTAGAAAAGAAAATAAATAAAAACTTTTTTATGTTCTAGAAATGTGTAATTTTAGGATAAATTATATTAATGGTCATTAATATATGAGTAAGTTTTCAATTTTAACACTTAAGTTTTAAAAGTAATGAAATGATAGTTAACGTTAGAGTTTTATAACAATTTGATCACCCAGTCGTTTAACAATTATTTTTGTAACTATAGAAGTCTATCATGATATGTTTGAACAACTGAATTGATATTGTTTAGTCAAATTAATACTCTTTAACTAGTTACTTTAATTCCCACTAAAAAATTATAAATATGTGATTAATTAAAGAACGTCAACGTGGTTAAATAATGCAAACTCAACTGTTTAAACACGTCACATTAAATTTATGTGAACGATGAGTGACTGATCTACTACAAAACAATAACACTACTAACTATTTTATTACTTTTAAAACTTAAATGCACTTTACGGAAACTTATTCATACTTCAAAGACTATTTATATAGTTTACCGCATGCGGCAGCCGCAGATGAGCTTTTACTGAAGAAATGAACTTTACAAAATAAGAATCGAAGGATGAAGTAGAAAGGAGAAATGAAAAAGGTTAAAAAGGTGAAAGATAAGGTATACGATAGCGAACATGATGATCCTTGGTGGTGGCTAGTTCAAAACGGGATCAAAGCCTCGTTCCTTTGTATATCAATATTCGCGCTATTGGTTCGCGTCGACCACCGTTGGTCTTCATCCATATTCTGGTGCCAATACTCCACCCAAGTTCGGCGATTACGAGGCGCAAAGGCATTGGATGGAAATTACTCTTAATCTTCCACCAAAAGACTGGTATCGCAACAGTAGTGTTAACGATCTTTCTTATTGGGGCCTTGATTATCCGCCATTAACTGCTTACCAGAGTTACATTCATGGGGTTTTCCTTAAAACCTTCGATCCTGATTCCGTTGCACTTTTCACTTCACGAGCCTATGAATCTTACCTTGGGTGGGTGTTTTTTTTTGTTTGTTTGTTGGGTTTCATTTGTTTCTTCTTTGGATTTTTAATTTTCGTTTTACCGGCATTTGATTGTGGTGTTTGGGGCTCAAAATGGTAGGAAATTGCTAATGAGGTGAACTGTTTTATCTTCCGACGTGCTGATATTCTTCCCGGCAGTTCTTTATTTTGTGTTTGTGTATTCGATTCGGCTTGGCACGGGTCGAAACAGCGATGCAGTTTGGCACATTTCAATGGTTCTGCTGAACCCATGCCTTATCTTAATTGATCACGGTCATTTTCAGGTATTTTCAAGCCTTTTTTTCCCACTCCATTTCTACTATATTATGAAAGATTATATTGGGTATTAATATTTGTTTGGTTCCTTTTGCAGTATAATTGTATCAGCTTGGGTCTTACCATGGCTGCCATTGCTGCAGCACTCTCTCAGAAGGACCTTGTGGCTTCGGTGCTATACTGTCTTGCTCTCAACCATAAACAGGTGACTTATGGTTTAGCTTTTGTTTTGCTACATATCCATGTTCTCTATCACATATCACATATCTTAACAACTTTGTGATGTCATGTAATTCTAGACAGTTGATAAATGCTAATAGATGTGAAAGGAAGGAATTTTGATGTAACATAAGAAAAGTTTAGATCATTCGTGAGTTACTGCATCAAAGATAACTTTTCAAGAGATTTTAACTTCATTTTTATGAAAGAATGGTGTATGGCTATTTTTATTGGGGTCACTGTTAAAGGAAGTTATGTGATGTTCCCTTTAATTTAATAATTTAAACAATATTGGGAATAATTAGGTGATGATGATAAAAGAAAATGAAAAAGAAGGAAAATTGTTGATATGATGCTTCTGCGAGACAAGATTTCAGTATACTATGGTAACCATGTTGCATCGAAACTTTCAATGTTTTAAGAACATGTGTTAAATTCAATTGCATGTGGCCTTTTCTAACTATTACCCTTTGACAGATGCTTTAACTTCTGGACATGATCAAGCTGTTGGCTGTTTGAGAGATTTTATTACTAGAAACTATTAGCAGGTTACATGCACATTGGAAATACTTTTCCCCTCCATGATGGTTTAAGTTATTTAGAGCATGATCATCTTTGTTCCTGCAACCTTAGATATAGATCCATGAAAAGAAACTTTGCTGATTATCGTTATGCTTTAGCTCTGGTGATGAAGAAGGTCCTTTTAGGCCTATAGTTGTGTAAGGGTCATGTGCATATCTGTTGGAATCTTGAAAAACCAGCTAGCTTTATAATAACTAGTAGTCTAATTTGAGTATTGGAAGATTTGATCCTTTTCTAGATAATTATATGGCTTTCATCTGGTTATATGTATTTTCTGGGCATTGCTTGGTAGGAAAGATAAAAAGAGGTATTTTAGTGGATAGATTTCATAGTGACCTTCCTATTTCTAGCTCAACCATTAAACTAAACATTTTTCCATCCTTATCCATTTCCTTAGTACTAAGAACTAAGAAGTGCCTCAGTGGAATACTTTGGACGTACTAGCATGAGGGATATATTTCAGTTAAGAAGCTAACAGAGGATACACTAACAAATGAAAAAGTACAGCTGAGGATTCCAACTGTATCAAATAAATTAACATGAAAAATCACTACATCCACTTAAATTTATTTGTTCTGTGTGAGATGTTTATTAGTTGATTTATTCAGGATTAGGATTTTAATATGGATCTTCCTATGTTTTTATGTTTTCCAGATGAGTGCATATTTTGCACCTGCCTTTTTTAGCTATCTGTTGGGTAAATGCCTGAAGAATAAAAATCCACTGGTCGAGGTGACAAAGATGGGATTAATGGTTATAGGAACGTTTGCTGTTGTCTGGTGGCCATATCTTCAGTCAGAAGAGGCTGCTTTGACTGTAAATTGCAGAATGAAATCCCTATCTCTCTCGCTAAATTTCTTTACTCGCTAATTAGCTTTCTATTCTTAGTTTGCTCTTATTGATTTTTATAGAACTTCTCTTTTCCAGTTTTTCTCTTCCTTGTATGTTTGTGTTATTTATGCAGAATACATGGTTGTTGTTAAAGGTCTGGTTGTTTGTATATCTTATGTTAATTACCTTTTAATTTTTTTATTGAGTATAAATTTATTTATGGGATTTATTTTGGATTGGCAACTATATCTGTTAGTCATTTTGTCAAACAAGAGCCCAGATGCTTCTCAATTTTTACTCGTGTTGCATCTTGTTGGTGTGGAACTAACTTTTAAATGAGATTGGAACTCAAGGCAATTAGCAACCTAGGACATTAATTAACCTTTCCTTGAGATTCATCCATCAAAGTATCCCATATTGTAAATTAATCTTGTCTGGGGAGTGAAGACTGGAGAGTATAATGCTTGAGGACTAGGTGAAACTTATGGATCATTCCTTCACAATGGATAGAAAAAAGTTCTAACATCAATATTTGTTATATTCCTTTTTACAGGAGGTGATGCGTCATACTTATAGATTGAAAACAATATTGGTGCTTGTTGCTGGTTCTATCTCGTCTTGCTCCATTTGAGAGAGGGATATACGAGGATTATGTGGCTAATTTTGGTGCACCAGTTCAGTGCTGGTGAAATGGAAAAAATTATATACTACACAATCATTAAGGATTTTTAGCCTTGCTGCAACCCCTTTAACATGTCTACCCTCAATGGTTCAACAAGTCCTTGCTCGAGTAGTAAGGGCTTTCTCTATGCATTGCTTAATAGTTCTTTCTCGTTCTACTTGTTCTCTTACCAAGGTTTGTATCTCCTTTCGTTCTTCATCCTTCTGGCCTTATTTATTTTCTCGTAACAGTGCTTGACATCATTTCTTGTCGTTGAAATATGCAGTGCATGAGAAGTCTATTCTCCTTCCGCTTCTGCCTCTTACCCTATTAGCTTTGGAAGAGCGTCGCTCCATACTCTGGCTAACACACTTTGCAATGTTCTCTATGCTTCCCCTTTTACATCGGGACAAACTGATTCTACCGTACATGGCACTTTATGCTCTTCATCCTTGTCTATTTTGCACCTGGTGGTCCAGGGGGGCGATGCAACGGAAGCAAGATTCTCGATCATAGCCAAAAGAAGACCAGGAGAGGCACGGAATTCATTTCTTTCATCGCTTTCCACCCACTTATAATGGGCTTTCTGGGTATGTGCTCTCTGATTCTGCATGTTATTTATTTAACATTGCTTCCACCGAATAGGTACCCTTTCCTCTTCGAAGCAGTGATCATGCTTATCTGCTTCTCTCAGTTCGTTTTATTCACTCTTTACTTCAATTCAAAGCAATGGATGTTACCGAAACATCTAACATCTAAAGATAAACAAAAAAAGCTTATTGATTATTATACTGTCATTAGTGCCATGAGGACACATCTGATTTTTTATTGGAATGTAGCAGCATACTGATTTGTTAGTACTTGGTTCATCAGAATTTACTCACTTGATTTTGCGTATGTATATACGTATGCTTCTTCATGAACAGATATGGATGTTACTATATGTCTGTATTACCTATGAGTCTCAGGCTCTGAGAAACATAGCTTCATCCATATCTCAAACCAAACTAAATGCTATTCTTATACGATATAATGACAAAAAATATTTCCAACATTTGACCCGACCCATTTATTAGGTTTTATGTTGAGACAAAAAGACCTCTCCATAGATGAAAATCATTAAGCAACAAACTGTCAAATGTTCCAAAATACGAGTTTTTTTATGTTAAAATGATATGTTGGAATTCAAATGTTCAAAAAAATAAGAATAAGGACAGTTAAACATTAGAGGTATATTTACTCTAAAATAGAATATTGGGGGCAAAGTACTAAAAAGATAGAGAAAAATACTCAAGTATTAAGGGCATTTTTGGCATTATGTCTTCTTCTAAACTGGACAAACATAAGCACGATCATTTCATTAATCATCAAAAAGTGCACATATCATCCTCTAAACAGAAAATATAAATCCATCACAGAACTATTTGTTGTCTGGGTGTAAAATGACACCAAATACAATAAACCAACAGTCAAAATCCAGCTTTCTAAGACAATGGTAGAATGATAGACTTGGCGCAGCCCTGTTTTCACAGGTCTCGAACACTCAAACCCGCAGACATGAAAAAAATGATTTGTAAAAATAAAAAACTCGTCTGAGAATGATCCGATGTTACCGACATGATAAGAAAAACCTGAATACATGACAGTAACAGAAACTACGACATGTTTCTGCTGCACATTTACAGTTCTATAATATCAAGCTTCTTCATTCAATCAAGAAAAGAATGAGAGATGAACAGATCATGGCCAAGAATGTTGATATGTTACTAACACGACAAGGAATTAAAAAAAGGATCTATCGTAATGTGGCGGGCAATTGAAACAATAACTTGTTATATCTACAATTCTATAACACGCTGGTTCATTCAAAACAAAGAGAAGAGGCTACTCTATTAATGCATAACAATTTACCTGGAGGAAGGGACTGCTTCAACTTGTCAGCCTTCTCTACATCGGACACATAAAGTGTGTACAAGTACTTGGAGCAACGGACCTTGAACTTAACTACATCTCTGCTCTTCTTGATCTTCACCGAACGTGCATCTTTCTTCTGGCAGTGAGAAGGAAGTTCAGAGATCATAACCATAAACGCAGACGGGTGACACCTACATTAGACCGACCCTTTGTTTTCTAAAAGTATCATATCTACAATTCTATAACACGCTGGTTCATTCAAAACAAAGAAAGAGGCTACTCTATTAATGCATAACAATTTACCTGGAGGAAGGGACTGCTTCAACTTGTCAGCCTTCTCGGCATCGGACACACAAAGTGTGTACAAGTACTTGGAGCAACGGACCTTGAACTAACTACACATGCTCTTCTTGATCTTCACCGAACGTGCATCTTTCCTTCTGGCAGTGAGAAGGAAGTCTTTGATCTCATGAATTTGCTTAGGCTGTGCATCATAACATGTAAATCAGAGATCATAACCATAAACGCAGAGGGTGACACCTACATTAGACCGACCCTTTGTTTTCTAATAGTATCATATCTACAATTCTATAACACGCTGGTTCATTCAAAACAAGAGAAGAGGCTACTCTATTAAATAACAATTACCTGGAGGGAGGGACTGCTTCAACTTGTCAGCCTTCTCTGCATCGGACACACAAAGTGTGTACAAGTACTTGGAGCAACGGACCTTGAACTTAACTACATCTCTGCTCTTCTTGATCTTCACCGAACGTGCATCTTTCCTTCTGGCAGTGAGAAGGAAGTCTTTGATCTCATGAATTTGCTTAGGCTGTGCATCATAACATGTAAATCAGAGATCATAACCATAAATGCAGACGAGTGACACCTACATTAGACCGACCCTTTGTTTTCTAAAAGTATCATATCTACAATTCTATAACACGCTGGTTCATTCAAAACAAAGAAAGAGGCTACTCTATTAATGCATAACAATTTACCTGGAGGAAGGGACTGCTTCAACTTGTCAGCCTTCTTGGCATCGGACATACAAAGTGTGTACAAGTACTTGGAGCAACGGACCTTGAACTTAACTACATCTCTGCTCTTCTTGATCTTCACCAAACGTGCATCTTTCCTTCTGGCAGTGAGAAGGAAGTCTTTGATCTCATGAATTTGCTTAGGCTGTGCATCATAACATGTAAATCAGAGATCATAACCATAAACGCAGACGGGTGACACCTACATTAGACCGACCCTTTGTTTTCTAAAAGTATCATATCTACAATTCTATAACACGCTGGTTCATTCAAAACAAAGAAAGAGGCTACTCTATTAATGCATAATAAAGAAGAAAAAAAACTTGTTCAGAATAAATCGTGTTTATTTCTGCTGAATATGGCTGACTTAAATAGAGTTTACAATGTAACAACTTTACATAAAAAGATGCATAAAATTAGCAAATAATAAAATGATTCTATCTAATTAAAAATGATCCTATCTAATAACTAATAGAATAAAAAACTGATTCTATCTAATTAAAAATGATCCTATCTAATAACTAATAGAATAAAAATTGATTCTATCTAATTAAAACTGATCCTATCTAATATTTAATTTAGATATTCTCGACACCCCCCCTCAAGCTGGAGAATAGATATCGATCATTCCCAGCTTGGACAGAAATCCTTCGAACATCGTAGTAAACAGTCCCTTGGTGAGAACATCGGCGAGCTGCTCTGATGATGGAACAAACGGTATGCAAATATCGCCATTTTCCAGCCTCTCCTTGATGAAATGTCGATCTATTTCGGCATGTTTGGTCCTGTCATGCTGTACAGGATTCTGAGCAATACTGATTGCCGATTTGTTGTCGCAATACAACTTCATCGGTTTATCTCTTTCAACCTTCAGCTCCTCTAAGATCCTCCTAAGCCATAACAACTCACATACTCCTTGCGCCATGGCTCTGAACTCGGCCTCCGCACTGCTTCTAGAGACAACTGGTTGCTTCTTGCTCCTCCAAGTAACTAAGTTGCCCCAGACAAAGGAGCAATAACCGGTAGTAGATCTTCTATCTGTAGAACTTCCGCCCCAATCAGCATCAGTGAAGATCTCCACTCTTCGACTTCCATTCTTCGAAAACATGATTCCTTTACCAGGACTCCCTTTCAAGTAATGAAGAATCCGGTAAACAGCTTTGGAGTTTTTCTGAGGGACAATGCATAAACTGACTAACCAAGCTCACAGCAAATGCAATATCTGGTCTCGTATGAGCCAAATAAATCAGTTTCCCCACCAGATTCTGATACCGATTCTTGTCCACAGACTCAGCACCATCTTCTTTTTCGAGTTTTGATTCGGATCAATAGGAGTCGCCACTGGTTTACATCCGAGTAATCCGGTCTTTCAAGATATCGAGGACATATTTCCTTTGCGAGATACTTATACCTTTTGAGGATCTAGCCACCTCCATTCCAAGGAAATACTTGAGTTGTCCTAGATCCTTGACTTCAAACTGGTTGGATAAGAAGTTCTTCAACGACTCCAACTCTACTGTGTCATCTCCTGTCATAACAATGTCATCTACATACACAATTAAAATAGCAATTTTACCATTATTGTGTTTGTAGAACATAGTATGATCAGACTGGGCCTGAGTGTAACCATGTTGTTTCACAGCTCTCGTGAATCTCTCGAACCAGGCTCTCGGAGATTGTTTCAATCCATAAATGGATTTCTTTAGCTTGCAGACCCTGCCATCCTTCTTCAATTCATCAAAGCCTGGAGGAACTTCCATATACACCTCTTCCTCTAGCTCACCGTTTAGGAACGCATTCTTCACATCAAACTGTCTGAGAGTCCAATCCAGATTGGCGGCTAGTGAGAGTAGGACACGTACGGTGTTTAGTTTGGCCACAGGTGCGAAGGTCTCCTCGTAGTCAAGGCCGTATGTCTGAGTGAAGCCTCGTGCTACGAGTCTTGCCTTGTATCTCTCGACCGAGCCATCTGCATGGTATTTGATGGTGAACACCCACTTGCTGCCTACAGATTGTTTCCCCTCAGGTAAAGGAGTTAGATCCCACGTGTCATTCTTCTTCAGGGCCTTTAACTCCTCAAAAACTGCCTCTCTCCATCTCGGAACTTCTAGAGCTTCATGTATCGACTTAGGTAGTGCATCATCCATAATCCTGGTGGAAAAAGCTTTGAAATCTGGAGAGAGTTTATTATAAGATAAGAAATTGGATATTGGATGTTTTGTGGTACATGATCTAACACCTTTGCGCAAGGCTATGGGTTCAAAGAATTCTGTAGAAGGCTCTAAATTTGGAGAAGAAATAGGAGAAGAGAAGTCGTACCTTGGACCATAGTCGAGTCCGATGGTTGACATACCTTGGGGACCGGTGGAACATTACTTGGTCGAGTCATCCGTCTAGAATAAACATGAAGTTCAGTAGGTGGTTCCAAGTTGGTTTCTACCTGAGTCTCACGAGGTTGTGAATTTATAGGTTGTGAAATCCTAGGATTAGTTACGGAAATATGAATTGGTTCTACTGAGCTATTTACAACCAATTTTGGCAAGGATGTTTGTTCCCAAAAACTCATTTCAGAGTCATTCTCCCCCGGAAGAGAGTTTTTGTCAAAAAAAGGTTGTTTTTCAAAAAACGTGACATCCATACTCACATAATACTTCCCAGATTTAGGATCAAAGCATTTATACCCTTTTTGTGTTGGTGAAAAACTAGAAATATGCATTTATGTGCTCGGGGATCGAGTTTTCCTCTATTTTGGCCGTGTATATGAACAAAAGCAATGCAACCAAAAATTTTAGGTGTTAAATCAGTGAAAGATCTATTTTCAGGAAACATATTCTTTAGAGCTTGCAAAGGAGTAATATAATTAAGAACTCTTGTAGGCATTCGATTTATCAAATAAGACGCTGTTAAGAGTGCTTCATTCCAAAAACGATTAGGAACATTCATAGCAAACAGTAAAGCCCTAGTCACCTCTATAAATGCCTATTTTTTCTTTCAGCAACTCCATTTTGTTGGGGAGTATCAACGCAAGAACTGTGATGAATAATTCCTTTTTGTTTCAAAAAATCACCTAAGATTGCATTAAAATATTCTCGATCATTATCGGTTCTAAGAACTTGAATATTTGCTTGAAACTGAGTATTGATCAGTGAGTGAAAATTTTTGAAAACACTTGCTGCCTCGGATTTTTGTTTTAGTAAATAAATCCACGTGACTCTAGTGTGATCATCAATGAATGTGATGAACCATCTAGATCCTGAGACTGTTTTTACTCGTGAAGGGCCCCAAATATCACTATGCACAAGAGAAAAAGGTTTTGATGGCATATACTTTAAAGATGGATAAACAGATCTATGATGTTTTGCCAATTCACAAGCTTCACACTGAAAAGAAAAACCGTCTTTTTTTTTGAAAAGATTTGGAAACAAATATTTCAAATAATTAAAACTAGGATGGCCTAACCTATAATGCCACAACATTATTTCATTCTCACAAGACAAGGTAGTAAAGCATCTCAGTTTCTGAACTTGTTTATTTGAAGGATTGTCCGTGACCAAGTGATAAAGTCCATCAACCTCCTTAGCATTGCCAATCATCTTCCCCGAACAAGGGTCCTGAAATTCAAATCCAGCAAATGTTATTGTAGCAATGCATTTGCAATCATGAATAATACGATTAACAGAGATGAGATTGCAAGAGAGCTTTGGGACATGTAGGACATTTAGTAATGTGAGAGATGGAGAAATAATGATAGAGCCTTTTCCAGCTATAGAGGTTAGGGAGCCATCAGCAATTTTTACCTTCAGATTACCAGATAAAGGAAAATAAGATGAGAATATGGAGGAATTACCGGTCATGTGATCTGTTGCCCCTGAATCTATGATCCAAGGGTTTGATTTAGAACCGGCTATGAAAGCTGTAGGATATGTACCTTTCTGGGCTAATGATGAAGAGGCAATATAAGATGATGGGTTAGGAGTGTTGGATATGGAATGAGAACTCATTAGTTGATACAATTGCTCTAGTTGTTCTTTGCTGAAGGCAGACAGTTCTGAGGCAGGTTTCGGCTCTTCAGAAGCATCTTCAGATGAGGCATGGAATCCCTTTGCATTACGAGAATTTCGATTGGCTGAAAAATTCTCGGCTGGCTTCCCGTGTAGCTTCCAACACTTGGCTTTAGTGTGTCCCGGCTTGTTGCAGTGCTCGCAGATTGGCCGATCTCTGTCGTTCCGACGATCGTTTCGACGTGGTGGCTGACCCGAGAACAAGGCAGAAGACTCGGTGGGATTTGGTGAGTGGCCTCCAAGCATGACTGTCCGCCGGCTCTCCTCTCGTCTGACTTCGGAGAAGACTTCTCTTGTGCTTGGTAGTGGTTCACGACCAAGGATGCGCCCTCTGACTTCATCCAATTCCTTGTTAAGGCCGACAAGGAATTCGAAGACGCGTTCTTTTTCCACCATCTTCTGGAATAGAGCCCTGTCCTTAGCACAACTCCATTCATAGTCGCTGAACATGTCAACCTCTTGCCACAAGGTCTTGAGTTCAGTGTAGTATTGAGTGACAGTTTTTTCTCCTTGTTTTAGCCTCCATAATCGAGTTTTTAGTTCAAACCATTGTCCTGCATTCCCGAGATCAGAATAGGTCTCGTTCACAGCATTCCAAATGTCATGAGCAGTAGGTAGGAAGAGATAAGTTCTCCCTACACTCGGATCCATGGAATTTATGAGCCAAGACATAATCATCGAGTTTTCTGCCTCCCATCTTTCAGATTCTTCTTCTTCGGCAGGTTTCGTAGTGATACCTGAGAGATAGCCGAATTTTCCACGGCCACGAATAAACAGTTTCACAGATTGTGACCACTGTAAGAAATTATTTCCATTCAACTTGTGAGAAGTGATGGATATGTTTTGGAAGGATTCAGTGTTTAGGGTGATTGAAGGTGAGCGAGTAGAACTCATAGAGTCGATACCAGAGGTATCATCGTAGAATTTGGCCATTTTGGCTCTGACACCATAAAGAAAAAAAAACTTGTTCAGAATAAATCGTGTTTATTTCTGCTGAATATGGCTGACTTAAATAGAGTTTACAATGTAACAACTTTACATAAAAAGATGCATAAAATTAGCAACATAATAAAAATGATTCTATCTAATTAAAAATGATCCTATCTAATAACTAATAGAATAAAAAACTGATTCTATCTAATTAAAAATGATCCTATCTAATAACTAATAGAATAAAAACTGATTCTATCTAATTAAAACTGATCCTATCTAATATTTAATTTAGATATTCTCGACACATAACAATTTACCTGGAGGAAGGGACTGCTTCAACTTGTCAGCCTTCTCGGCATCGGACACACAAACTGTGTACAATTACATGGAGCAACGGACCTTGAACTTAACTACATCTCTGCTCTTCTTGATCTTCACCGAACGTGCATCTTTCCTTCTGGCAGTGAGAAGGAAGTCTTTGATCTCATGAATTTGCTTAGGCTGTGCATCATAGCATGTAAATCAGAGATCATAACCATAAACGCAGAGGGTGACTCCTACATTAGACCGACCCTTTGTTTTCTAAAAGTATCATATCTACAATTCTATAACACGCTGGTTCATTCAAAACAAAGAGAAGAGGCTACTCTATTAATGCATAACAATTTACCTGGAGAAAGGGACTGCTTCAACTTGTCAGCCTTCTCTGCATCGGACACACAAAGTGTGTACAAGTACTTGGAGAAACGGACCTTGAACTTAACTACATCTCTGCTCTTCTTGATCTTCACCGAACGTGCATCTTTTCTTCTGGCAGTGAGAAGGAAGTCTTTGATCTCATGAATTTGCTTAGGCTGTGCATCATAACATGTAAATCAGAGATCATAACCATAAATCCAGACGGGTGACACCTACATTAGACCGACCCTTTGTTTTCTAAAAGTATCATATCTACAATTCTATAACACGCTGGTTCATTCAAAACAAAGAAAGAGGCTACTCTATTAATGCATAACAATTTACCTAGAGGAAGGGACTGCTTCAACTTGTCAGCCTTCTCGGCATCGGACACACAAAGTGTGTACAAGTACTTGGAGCAACGGACCTTGAACTTAACTACATCTCTGCTCTTCTTGATCTTCACCAAACGTGCATCTTTCCTTCTGGCAGTGAGAAGGAAGTCTTTGATCTCATGAATATGCTTAGGCTGTGCATCATAACATGTAAATCAGAGATCATAACCATAAACGCAGACGGGTGACACCTACATTAGACCGACTTTGTTTTCTAAAAGTATCATATCTACAATTCTATAACACGCTGGTTCATTCAAAACAAAGAAAGAGGCTACTCTATTAATGCATAACAATTTACCTGGAGGAAGGGACTGCTTCAACTTGTCAGCCATCTAGGCATCGGACACACAAAGTGTGTACAAGTACTTGGAGCAACGGACCTTGAACTTAACTACATCTCTGCTCTTCTTGATCTTCACCGAACGTGCATCTTTCCTTCTGGCAGTGAGAAGGAAGTCTTTGATCTCATGAATTTGCTTAGGCTGTGCATCATAACATGTAAATCAGAGATCATAACCATAAACGCAGACGGGTGACACCTACATTAGACTGACCCTTTGTTTTCTAAAAGTATCATATCTACAATTCTATAACACGCTGGTTCATTCAAAACAAAGAAAGAGGCTACTCTATTAATGCATAACAATTTACCTGGAGGAAGGGACTGCTTCAACTTGTCAGCCTTCTCGGCATCGGACACACAAACTGTGTACAAGTACTTGGAGCAACGGACCTTGAACTTAACTACATCTCTGCTCTTCTTGATCTTCACCGAACGTGCATCTTTCCTTCTGGCAGTGAGAAGGAAGTCTTTGATCTCATGAATTTGCTTAGGCTGTGCATCATAACATGTAAATCAGAGATCATAACCATAAACGCAGACGGGTGACACCTACATTAGACCGACCCTTTGGTTTCTAAAAGTATCATATCTACAATTCTATAACACGCTGGTTCATTCAAAAAAGAGAAGAGGCTACTCTATTAATGCATAACAATTTACCTGGAGGAAGGGACTGCTTCAACTTGTCAGCCTTCTCGGCATCGGACACAAAGTGTGTACAAGTACTTGGAGCAACGGACCTTGAACTTAACTACATCTCTGCTCTTCTTGATCTTCACGAACGTGCATCTTTCCTTCTGGCATTGAGAAGGAAGTCTTTGATCTCATGAATTTGCTTAGGCTGTGCATCATAACATGTAAATCAGAGATCATAACCATAAACGCAGACGGGTGACACCTACATTAGACCGACCCTTTGTTTTCTAAAAGTATCATATCCAAACACATGGATATAAATATGACTGTAAATACATGAAAGTCTAAAGAAAAAAAATGAATATATATTATGTATCAGGAAAAAAAGACTGTATTCAAATTACATTTGGGACAAGCAAATAAACAACTCAAAGAAGAGTGTCAAAAACACAATTGATACTAAAAGATCAGAAAAATTAACACATTCTTTAAGAATAACAATATGATGAGATAAGTGGCATACAAACATCATTTATCCCAACTTGAGCAATAGTTAATGAAGTTTTCCAATACAAAAATCTACCTATCACATTCAGAATCTTGAAACAATGGAGACTTTTAACACACAAACATCTTAATAATCGCATTAAGCACCTGCATTCCAACTGAACTAAAAATCAATGATAAACTAATGATACTAAATATTTCACAGATTGAACCAATATTAAGCAAACCAAACAAATGTTGCTAAACACGAAAAAACCCATCAAATGAATAATACATAAAATAGAAGTAACCCATTGTCTATCTAAAGTATATCTAAAGTAAAGAATGCTACTGAAGACATAAACGTAAAAAAGAGGAAAATGAACATCAAATCAAAATTAGTTTCGGAAATCTTAAGAGAAAATTGAAGATAGAAATGGGTTTTAACCATTTTCGATTGAAGCTACTTGAAATCCAGACAGCAGAGCCCGCTCTAAACCCTAGATTCTGTGATATTCAATTATATAAATATGCTCGCAACAAAACCCTAGAGGGGAATTGCCCCTTTTAGCCTTGGTTTTTATAGTGTTTATTATTGTATGGTAACCCGATTCTAAAAAATTTTTTAAATTTTATAAAATAACAAGTAATGAAATCAGTAAAAATTAAAAAAAAAACATTTCAAGAAGTTGAAGAATATAAATATTAAAAGATTTGTAGAAAAATTAAAAATTTGAAATTCTTTATCCGATCGGTCTTTGTTGTTACCAGCTTGATTATATTGATATTCCTTGAATACATTCTCGATGAAATCAATCTTGTGTTAAAGTCTATATCTTATGAGATTCCCTGTTATAGTCGATACAGATGGATATATCAACACCTAAACAATACTCATAAACCATACTGATATCGATTACTTCTAAAAGAATTAAATTTTAATCTCTAAATTTAGAGTCATAAGCATTGTTTTGCTACCGGCTTAATCGGTAATTTTGTCTAGATGAAGCTTTTTTTTTTTTTGAGAAAATAACCTCAGTGATCAAAAATGCCTTATAATATATGATTTTAACCAATTTTTTTTGGATTTGCCAAAATGACCAACTAAATCGCAATGCGATCGATAATTCGCAACGCGATCTCCGGTATCGCAAATCAGTTTCCAGATTCGCAACGCGATTCTAACTATCGCATTGCGATTTCTCAAATTCGTGTTGCAATTTTCCTAATTCGCAATGCGAATACGTAAATCGCAATGCGAATTAGGAAAATCACAATGCGATTACGTAAATCGCAATGCGATTACGTAAATCGCAATGCGAATACGTAAATCGCAATGCGATTTACGAAATCGCATTGCGATTTTTCTAATTCGCATTGCGATTTACGTAATCGCATTGCGATTTACGTGTTCGCATTGCGATTTTCCTAATCGCAACGAGATTCTCACTATCGCAATACTGAATTTTAAATTCACAACTCGATTTCTGAATTCGCAACAGGTTTTAATTTCGCAACACAAATGTTTTGGGTATATATAAATACGCAGCAGCAGCAACTCATAACCTAAATCCCTAAATCGCAACTCATTCCATCTTCATCTATCACTCTCTCCGACGACATCCGTTCCTATATCCAACGACATCCTTCCCCATCCGGCAACAAGTTTTAGTTTCGCAGCTCGTTTGTTTAGTAAATTAATTTACAATAATGAAATCATCTAATGTTGATCATGTTTGGATAGATTTGTGTTTTGGAGGGTCATGGGAGAATGTTCATGGTGTTTTACAATATATGCCTTTACCCATGAATCTTCAATTAAAACTGTCATTAAAAAAGTTAACTTATGAAACTCTAATGTTATGTGTTGCAAATAAATTGAATTTAGAGCCCCTAAGTTGATTTTAGGCTATCTTATCAGAGAAATGGTAAAGTTTATTTGTTAACCGACAATGAAGATGTTGAACGATTCATTGCTTACATTAGTGTTTCAAGTGATGATGTTACATTGTATGTTGTTGAACCTAGAAGTAGTGAAGTTGGGTCAGTTGCGGGTAGTAATCAACTAAGTTTTTCAACCCCAGTTTATGGTGCTCAAAATTTAATGGTTCCACCACAATTTCATCACCAAGCAAATATTGTTTCACCACATTTTTAATACTAAACACAATCTCAAAACCCACAACCTTTCCCTAATCCAAATCTCAATCAACTTTCAACACCAAATTTCGGTTTTCGTATTGACCAGTTAGACGATGATGAGCCAATAAAAAAAATTGTGAGTACTAGTCAGTATTCGAAATTTGATCTTGGTTAATACCCGGACTTTGATCTTGGTCAATACTCGGATTTTGATGATTTTTCAAAAGAAGAAACAGACCATGCGTGTAATGATTTTGATATTGGTCATACCCGAATTTTGATGATGAAACAGCCGTTGCCGAGGAAGATGTTGTTGATGATAATGAGGAGGAAGTTACGACTGTAAATGAACATGTTGAACATCCATTCTGTAATTCATATAACACTGAAGAAGAAAAAGAATAAGAAGAAATCCCCAAAGAAAAGTCCCCGAAAAAAATGCCACGGGAGTATAACTGGAATATGCCAGAATTACTTCAGATACCGGAAGAAGAGTTGGTAAAGATAGCAGTTGATTGTCACACAAAAATTATTAGTATCAAGAAAGATTATTGTTTTGATACAAATGAAGACTTGAAGATAGCTTTGTATACGAAATGTGTGGAAGATGGCTATCAACTAAAAGTTAACAAATCAAGCAAAGATCGTTTCGAAACAAGGTGTATGATTGACAAAAACTGTATGTGGCGTATGATTGCAAAGAGGATAAAAGATTGCGAAATGTTTCAAGTTAGGACTTTTATTGATAAACATACATGTTCAAGAACCCAAGTTTTTCCTCACCATAGACAGGCAAACAAAAATGTGTTGGGTGGTTTTCTGGCTGAGTTAATGTTTTTGAATGGTAGGGTATATCGGGGACATGAAATTATGACTGACATGAATGCTCGGTTCTCGTTTGCCCAACTGCCGGCTTATTGTCACAATTTAAAGCTAAAAAATCCTGGGTCGGTAACTCATATCAAAACAGATAGAGATGGACGCTTTGAGTTGTTGTTTATCGCCATTGGTGCTGCGGTTAGTAAATCAATATAATTTTGTTGACTCATTTTTGTTAGTTACATGCATTTCACATTTAAATGATTATATTTCTTGTGTATATGATTTTGTAGATTCGTTCGTTTATTAATTGCATGCACCCAGTTATTATAGTTGACGGAGCACATTTAAAAGGTCGATACCTTGGAGTAAACTTATTAGCAGTAGCCATGGATGCTAACAATGGGATACTGCCAATAGCTTACGGGGTTTGAAAATCTGAAACCTCTGATTCATGGACATGGTTTATGAGGCATCTTAAGGATTGCATAGGTCCTATTAGCAATCTGACAATCATATCCGATAGGGCAAACTCAATTGACAACGCTGTTAGAAGGTGTTTCCCAGATCCTTTTCATGGACTTTGTGGTGTTCATTTGTATAGAAATCTAAAATCAAGGTCTGTTGGTATAAAAAATCACAAATGGACATACTGGAAGGCTGTAAAAGCTTATCGGGAAGTGGATTTTAATAAGCATATAAAGTGTTTAAGACGTGTTTTGCCTCAGTGTGCTCAAACACTAGAAGATGTCAGGTTTGAAAGATGGTCAAGAGTACATGAACTTGGAGCAAGATATGGTTTCATGACGTCTAACAGTGCAGAATCAATCAACGCTCTAAGTCGTCATTCCCGAAAATTACCCATTACTATGTTAATAGAGTTTTTTTCGAACCTCTATTCAATAGTGGTACTACAAGAAAAGAAACCATGCATGTATTATTTATTTAAATTCGTAACTTATCATATATTTTACTATGTATTATTTATTTAAATTTACAGGAACATTGGAACATCGTGTTACACCATGGACAGAAAAAAAGATAACGAAACGTGTTGTGAAGTCAACGTCATGGAGAGTTGAACCATGTTCAAACACTTTGTTTGAAGTACTGGATAATAACTTAAATGGGCTTGTCGATCTAAATGCAAAGACGTGTAGTTGTATGAAATGGCAAACATCTGGTTATCCGTGTGGCCATGTTATAAAAGTTTCTCTTCATCTAAACCAAGATGATTCAAGCGCATACGCTATGGATTGCTACACTACAGAAGTATATCGACAGACTTATGGCGAGATTGTCTACCCTATTCCACATCCTTCTGAGTGGGACATACTAGATGACTTACAAACAGTTTTGCCACCAGCCATGGACAGAAGGCTACCTGGCCGACCAAAAAGTCACGATCGTATACCGTCTAAGGGTGAAGAGAAGAAGAGATCGACATGTAGTCGGTGCAAGGAAAGTGGTCATACAAGGTTGACATGTGGATCACCAGTGCCATCACAATCATCTTTTCCTCTACCAAAATATGGATCCTCATCAAAATCCAAAGCTCATATGGTGTCAAGCAAAAGGCAATCAAAATCGCAATCATCTTTAAAATCCCAATCACAACCGGCTTCACATTTTGGGACTGTTAACTTAGGTGATTTTTAAATACAAACGTTGTATTATGTGGATTTATGTGTGAACTTTTAACATTTTCAGTTAGGCATGTATTAGTAACTTGAGTTTGAAAATTACTATGATCTGTTCAATTGTTATCACTTTTTAGGCATTCATTTGACTATCGGGACACGAAAATGACGTTCGCAATCATCTTAATGTCTATCGCAACGCGAAAATGACTATCGCAATGCGAAATGAAAATCGCAACGAGAGAATCGCAATGCGAAATGAAAATCGCAACGAGAGAATCGCAATGCGAAATGAAATCAACATAATGCAGATTGAAATCAACAAAATGCAATAATCATTTTAGTTTCGCGTTGCGATTTTCATTTCGCATTGCGATAATCATTTTTGCCTTCAACATAATGCAGATTGAAATCAACAAAATCAACCATTACATTTCAATCAATTAAACAAACACAAATAAGAATTATGTTCACATCAATTAAACAAATCAATTTTACAAATCATCTTTTACAAATCAATTAAACAATCAAAAAATAAGCAATAATTCTTATTTCCTCATCTACTATTGAATCAACTTTTGCAACCACACATCATTTTCACGCAGCTCACTTCTGAGATTAACCTGCAGAAACCAAACATTTGCTCAAACAACACTTTCTACTCATCTAAAACCTACAAACAGCAAATTATTGAATTCTAGGTACTTAACCAAACATTTTCAAACCACAAGCCTATAAACTTACCAATTGTTTATGGACATTTTTATAACGCGGATGCAGGTAGGCAGCGTCTCGTATATATCGATCTAGCCATATAATGCCGAAACCACAAGCCTACTGCAGCTCTATCTCTATCGGTGGGAGGTAGATACTTTATACTTCCTGTGATCAAATGCTCCAACGCCA